ATAGTATAACATTTATAAATCTCCCTTAAACGATTCCTTAGCCTATCTAAGGTACCTTACTTAGTTACACTTCCTTAAGTGCAACTTCTATTTCTTATGATTACAATACATGTAAACAAATCTTGTTTCTATAAAAACATTGTTGTTAAATAATTAGAAAACATATTTGCACTATAATCAAAGTAGTACCCCATAACCCCTTATAAAGGACATTTAATCTTTTAAAACATGTAATGCATGATAGCTAGTAATATTTATTCAAAAATAACTAAAACAAAGTAATAAGAAATATAAATTCTCCTATTACCTCAACCCTTTGGTACCAAAAGGGTTTCTCTTATACAAAATAAGACTCGGCTTGTTCCTTAACTTCCAAACATATTCCACCAACAATCCTTACAACATATAAGTGATTCACATCACTTATCATGACAAATAGCATTAATGAAAACTATAATTCATACCACACGACTTAGGTCAATGAGTCATAATCCATCCTAATATCCATATATTAAACCAATCATTCACATAGTATCACTTAACCACCAAAATCATTTATTAGCCATTACTAGGCTAATTTTTAATTTATATAATTTTTAATCAATTAAAAACCTTTACTTAGTATCACCAACTTTCACCATTAGCCCTTATAATGAAAACCAAACCTTAATTTAAAACTTATTGGGCTCAAATGGCAAAATTATAACTAAATCAATAGACTTAAATCATTGAAGAGAAAAACCCAACCTCTTGGGGTTTATTTGTGCCCAAAACACCTTTTTTCATCTAATTATCCACTCAAAACATTAGAACACCATATAGAAACATAAAACAACCTCCCTAAGATCCAAAGAAACAAAAACTTACAAGAATAAAGCCTTTGGGATCAAAATTTAGAACTTTTCTCTTCCAAAAATTGAAGAAAATCAAGAAAGGGAAGAGGATTGAAGTAGGGAGTTTACCTATCGTGTAGCCAAGCTCGCAACGATTGCAGAACCTTTTAGATCCAATCCTAACTCTTCTCTTTCTCTTCTTTACTTCCTCTCTCCCTCTCATGTGTTTCCTTTCCTTGTTTCAATTTTTGTTTCTACGTTCTTTTTTCCTCTTAAATTGCTGATATAAGACTTTGGAAAAAATTATAATAAAGGGCCTAACATTTTTTATTATAGCACAAAAGCTGGGTCGACTTTGGTAATTTGTCCCATAGTTAAAAATCAAATAAAACTAAACTTTTGCTAAGAAAAATTCAAACTCTGAGCCTCTATCAAATTATTCTAAAATTTAATTTAATTATAGATACTTTATTTTATTTTTTTAAAATAAATCTGAGTCTTAAAATTTTTGAGATGTTACACTTGCCTTGAAGATTGTGGAGACCCAATTAGAACACCACCACTTCTTTAAGCTAATCCCCTCTTCATAATGAGTACATGCACTACAACAATCTACCCACATAGATTAGAACTATTAATCAATTAATCAAATTGACTATAAGTACTAATTATCACAATTGATATCAACTAGCCAATTATTTCCTTTCATTTGATCAATAAAGGTATAAACCTCCTTATTCAACCTTCTCAACACTTCTACAACTCCCAAAACACTTCACACCAATTTCATACCTTTTTCACCACTAATTTAGGGCTTAATTATGCTTATAGCTATAAAGCTTTATTACTTGCTTCTAAACTAGTCGTAAAATCTTATTCTGATTCTTGAGTATCATTTTATTACTAAAGGATAAGAAATAAACCCCTTAAAAATTTCTAATTCAGTTTCTCTATGATTTATACTAAGAGAAATTATGGTAGAAATGGAGCTAAGAACATCTCCCAAGGATCTAAAATTGATTGCCCGAGCAATGATAACTCCTCTCCTCCTATCCTTTCATGTTCCCTCTCTCTTTCCCTTTGATTTTCATAGCCACATACACATCAACCATAGGCCTAAAATACAATAGTTCACATATTCAACAACCAATAGTGGAAGTGCATCAAAAATAAAAATCTTAGTTAGCAAAATTATCTTTACACATGACAATATTCCAAAATAAAAGGAATTATAAAGAAGGACTATTAGTCCTTAGCCTCTAATGCCTCTCCCTTGTTTCTACTAACAATATATGTTGGAAAATGTTAATAGAGAAGCGAGTACAATAACCAAAGCCAACCAAATCAGACACATGTAAGTCAAATCAATAAATATGCATGGAAAGTGGGAAGATAAAACCAATCAACATGTATGAATAACATGCATGATCATTAATCTCTCTTATATCCTCATGTTACCTCTAATTGAATTTGTGGGCTTCAAAACTAAGAAGGCTATGTTCAAGTGTGAATGGATTAACCTAAGTTCACAAGTATAGGGATGACTAAGCCAAAGGTACTACACTCACTCTCAACCACATATTTTCCCATCTTAAATTTAAAGGCATTATGAGTCGTATCCTATACCCAATCTAGGATGATATTAACGGCTATCAAATCAAGACCAAATACTGGTGCTACTCATGGTGTTAGTTAGTACCACATGGAATTTAGATTTACTTCCCCCTAATGTGAACTCCTATTCATTATTATGATTATGTGAAGCCAATCATGCTCATATTCACATTCAATGTATAATATCACATTTCCAAATCAGGATTACAGTAAATGATATTCATTATAAAAGCAATCATATCACTTTCACAAATTTGATCTCACTTGCATCTAAATTTTCCAAACATCTATACATGATATGAGTCATTCAAATTTAGATTTTATAATTTTACAATCCTGCATATCAACCAAACAAGCATAAACGGAAGACTTAGTTTCTTCTAGTTACTTCAAACATTTGATTACCAAAGTTTTACCCCTTGATGATTTGCTTTCTTGAACTTAACTCTGTGCTCAAATAGTGCTCAATATGATTAGTCTAAAATTTCCAACAATTATCATAAATATCTAATACAAACATATTTACAACTATCTTTAACTATTCCCAACTCACCTTCTTCATTTTCTTCATCACCTAATCATCAGCAAACATCTATTAGTTTCAAACAACCCCCCTTAGCTCAACCAATAACAATTTATAACTCCCAACACCTCAACTAACAACTTTTGCTTTTAAGGTTTGTCCAAAAACTATGACCCACTCATATATCTCTACTAAATCACTAACTATAAGTTTAGAAACCTAAAACAACTTCTACTAGTCCCAATAAAACTAATGAGTTTAGTCAAAAACCCCTCTAAATAGAGATCACCATCATCAGCTACAAACCCTAATTGAAAATCATGGTAGAGAGGGAGAGGAAAGAGTTAGAAACTTGCCCAAGGTGGTAGCAAGCTCCCAAATCACTCCTAAGAGTCATGGAAGTTGAACCCTAGTAGCCCTCAAACTCTTCTCTATCACTCCCTTCTCTTTTCTTTCATCCTCTATTCAATGAGCTTGATCTAATTATATCAAATTGGTATAAAGAGCCCAATTCCATGTTTTTCTCCTCTTAGGTCCAATGTGTTTCAATACCCCATGGTTCATGATTCCAAGCCTATCAAAACATCCCATGAGCTCAATGATCATCCCCAATCCATAATCCAACATAGTCAACTTTATTTTTCCTATATTACACTTGATTAGCCTTAATTAACTTGGTCTAAAATTTGGGATGTTAGTCTTATTATATATATATATATATATATATAAATCTTTTTTAAATGGGTGGATTTGCGTTTCAAGTAGTTAAATATAGTTCAAGAAAGACAAAAGATATATTCCCTTCGTTTCAATTTACAAGACACAACAAAATTGTATATACCAATAAAGTTCATATAAATACAATTTTTAACTTTATTTTTTCTAAAAAAAATATAAAGTTCCAAAAACTTCCTTAATTCAATACTCCATTTGTGGAAAAAAATAAATTAAACTGAGAGAACATAATGAGAAGGCAATTTTGGAAAAACATCATTAATAAAATCTTGTTTTTTAAAATGTTTTATATTTTGAACCATAAATTTATACACAAATGTTTTATAATTTAGAATTGAGGGTAGTACAAACAGTAACGACTCCTTTGTTATATATATATATATATATATAGATAATTGATCAATTCAAAACTACCTCCAAACCTGAATCTAAACCCAACACTGAAACATAAAATCAAGAGAAAGACATTGTGAAGCAGTGACAGAGTCAGGACCCAGAATCAGAGGATGCAAAATAATTTAATAAAAAATTATTTTTTAAAGATAATAATTATGCTATGACTAAAATTATAATAACATAAATAGTTTTATCATCATTTTTTTTTTTAAAAAATTATATTGAACAAATTGATATAGCTTTTTATTATAAATGTACTCTTCATATCCTATCATGGTTATTAAAATATTATATATTTAATAAGCTTTTGAACTTAAATATTTTGCATTTAATTTAGAGGATGCAAAATATCAAAAATAGAGGTGCAAAGTTATAAATTTTATATGCTTCACTTATAATTTTTTTTTAAAGTGAGCAAGTGCATTTGCAACCCTTCAAATCAATATGGTTCTACCATTATCATGAAACATAGATTGTAAGAAACATATCAAAGCTAACCCTATTTATATATATATATATACACACACACGCATATATATATATATATATATATAGATTTTTGGGGATGAAGACTAAATTTAATTTAAATTTAAATAAAAAAATGAAAGGAAAAAAAAGATTGGAATATAATAAAGTAATTCACGAATGAATATTCTCCCACCGTCCCACAAGTCCACGACAAATATAAGCGGATGGATGTTGATTAATAAATTGATTATTGATTAATTTTCTGGAAAAAAAAAAGAGAGAGACAATAATATAATAGTAGTATATATTGGCCGTTTCGGAATACATTGTGGCTTGTTGGTTGAGGGCATAAACGGAATATTGAAACGATATTAGCTGGCAAGCATATTGAAATCTTAACTTACGCCCATCGGTTACTCACCTCACACTCCCTGTTGCTGCTCACTTTAAACTTTAAAGTGAACCATTTCATCTTCCTTTCGCAAGAAGCAAGTTGTTAGACGTGAGAGCAGTGGGAGCGACATAAACGAGGAGAAGTAGAAGATGATGATCTTAGTGACAGTGATTCTGGGAGGATTGTTCGTGCTGGCGTTCCATGCTTTGGTTGCGTTGTTTCTGAAGCCAAGATTGACGAGAGAAAGCCTTCGTACGCAAGGCATCTATGGTCCTTTTCCTCACTTTTTCTTCGGGAATGTTCCAGAAATGAAATCCCTTCTTCAGGAGGTTCATGATCAGTCTCGTTCTCAACCCGAAGCATCCCCTATTTGTCATCGCTGGCCCTTCACTTTGTTCCCTCATTTGCCCAAATGGAGGAACCAATACGGTAACGTTTTCTATTTTCTCGCGATTTTTCTTCTGTTAAGCTTTTGCATGTTTTGGTGGAGTCTGTTCTGACATCGGAGTCAATTCATTTTGTTTTGGGTTTCCGCGTGTTTTCTACTTTCTTGCAACGAAAGCCCCCCCCCCCACTGTTTTCCCTATCGATGCCTTCTTCTTCTTCTTCTTCGATGATGATGATGATGATGTCGTCTTCTTCACTAACTTCATCGCTCGATTAAATGAATTTGTTAGATAACTGAATGAGCAAATGATTTTGTTGAGCGATTGATTCTGGAGTATGGATTTATTGATTTTATTGTTTGATTTTAATGATTTTGACTGAAATCTGAGCTTATGATTTTCGATTTTGTTGATTTGATGAAGACGGCTGTGGGAGAAGAGGTGCGTTGGGGTTGGGGAGTGAGTGGTGACGGATGGCGGGAAATTCCGCTACTTCCTTTATGTTAAAATATAAATTATTTATGATTTATAAAATTACACACAGCTTGTCGCAATCCTCTATTGATTTTTTTTTCTTTTTGGAAAAAAAAAAGGGGTAAAGCCCATTGCATGAAACTAAATATGGGGATTGAAATCTCAAACAATCATTAAGCACCGGGGCCCTCACACAGTTACGAACCATTTCAAAAAATTCTGATTGAGTGACTCCATTCCTTGCAAAAGAGTCTGCCACTTGATTCATCCCATGAGAAACGTGTCTAAGCTGCACAGTCCACGCTGTAAGAGATTGATGATTTCCGCCATCACCGTCAACCAGGGTGTGTTTAAATCACAGTATCACACTTCACACCTTTGGCATATCCGTTGGAAGGTTAAAATTGTTAAGGTAATTAGTTTGTTTTTAGAATTAATGACCTTAAGCTGTTAGTAATAGAGATGAATCTAGGAGCTAATAACTGGGGCCCAAATTGAAAGTGAAAGATGAGGGGGCCAAAATCTAATTAAATGTTTTAATGTTTTTTACAAGTACAAATTTTAAATCTTTCTAAAAGGAGTATTGGAATGTGGCCTTGTCCATTGGTCACTAATTTTAAACCCTATATCAAGGTTATCTCATCGTAACCCAACAGGGATGGGTCTAGTAGAAGGACTCCTTCACACCATAATGAATTAAGATTCGAATTCTCTATATTTAGTGTTCAATTGTGCCTCAAACAAAATTGCTTTTAATAAAAAATATTTGTGACCAATTAAATATATATATATATATATATAAAGAAGTTTATTGTATTGTGTAATCCCTTATTTGTTTTCCCCCATAATTTGGGGATGTTTGGTTTATCTCCCTTTAGATAAGGGTTGATTTGTATTGTGCTTGTTTCTCATAATTGATTAGTACTGTTATTTCATTTTCTTCTTGTTTCTTTCTCTTCAACACTTAGCAAAATCGGCTTTATTACTTGCCCTTTGACATATTAATTAATATGATTGATGGTATGATGCATGCAGGGCCCATATGCTTGTATTATCGTGGAAGCAAACCGTTCTTGATGGTTCAAGATACAGAGATGGTGAAGGAGGTGAGCTTGTACACATCTTTGGATCTTGGAAAGCCTTCTTATCTATCCAAAGATCATGGGCCACTCTTCGGCCTAGGCATATTATCATCAAGTGGGCCTCTTTGGGCCCACCAAAGGAAAATAATTGCTCCTCAGCTATACCTTGATAAGGTTAAGGTATAATTTTGCAACGTTCTGTGTCTTCAGAATTTTTTGCTTGATTATTTTATTTTATTTTTAATTAAAGCAATCCTTAAGGTAACATATCCCAAAATATTTTAAAAAATTAGTTAAAAGTGATTTGTACCATTAAAATGGGAAAAAACTTATCACTACTTTTTAAGATTACTCTCCAATTAACATAGTATATTTTAATTATCATTAAGTTTTTTTTATTATAATCTCTATCTTCAATTCAATTAATAAAAGTATTTCTAAAAAAGAAAAAAATAATGTTGTTGACTTTTTTTGGCGAAATGTCCTAGATTTTGGACTGGAAGGAGTAGTTATACAACTACCCTTGTCCATCAAAGTGTGCATACACATATTGCATGTAAATAAATAAAGGTAATTGTGTAACCAGTTATAACCATGGTATTGAAACCCCGACCGGACCGGCCGGGTCAACCTGAAAATCGGTGACCCGATCTCTTGTCCGGTTTGGGTTTACTCCTAAACCAGTGAGGAAATGAACCGGTGTAACTTGGTCGACCCGATATAACCCGGATAACCCAGTGGGTTGATTGGGTTAATCGTGTTATTATTTTTTCGGATAAAACCCCTAAAATGATGTCGTTTTGGGTTTTTTTTTTCATTTTTGATTTTCCAGAGCGCTGAGTTCAGAAATAAGATAACAAAAAAAAATGTGAAACTGAAGTCAAAAAAATGAAAAATTAAAGGTAGAGCACACGAAGTCCAATCCAGATTCCCAAACAACATTCAGTTCGGCCTTTTGTCTGTATCTCTCCTCTCTCGCCCTAACCTAGTCGGCGTCTCTTCTCTAGCTCATCGCCGTCTCTTCTTCAGGCTCTAGCTCTATCTTCGTCTCTGCTGTCTCCATCTCTTCTCCAGCTTAGTCTCTGACTCTCCATCTCTTCTCCAGCTCAATTTTCGTCTCTTTTCCAGCTCTGTCTCCATCTCTTCTCTAGACTTTGAGATTGAAGGGTTGTAATTGTAAGGATAAATATTTAAAGTGTTGCATTTTATTATTGTTAGACTTTTGAGTGGTTGGATTTGGTTGAATTTTTATAATTAATGTCTTTTTATTTAAATTGTATTATTTTAATCATGACCGGTTTGCCACTAGTTCAACCCCTCGTTCAACCCTGATTGAACCACTAACTCGTGACCCAGTAGGGTAATCATAATCGGTTCAATGACCGGTCCGGTTTTACGTACCTTGGTTATAACAACAATGAGAAGAAGAATAAGCCTTATCCCAATAGGTAGGGTAATCAGTTATAATAACAAGAAGAAGGAGAACAAGCCTTATCCCAATAGGTACGGTTGGTTACATGGATTGCACAACATTCTACTCTATCGTCAACAAAGCTTTTAGAAATATTATTAACTATGAGGTCTTGTTCAACAACTTCAAAGTGTTCTCTTTGTTTTTTTTTTTTTACTCATCTTTATTGAGTTCAAGGCTATATGTTTCACTATTCTCACTGATGCTTCACATAGTCTTCTCTAAACATGTTCAAATCATTTCAAACAATTTTCTACCATTTTCCCCCAGTAGGTCTACTTGTTTCTGTATATGCTCATTTCGTATTTTATTTTTTTGTGTATGCTTGCACATCCATCTTAACATTCTTATCTATGCTACTTCAATTTTATGCCCCTATTGCCCTTTAAAGCCCAACATTCACTATTATATAATACGGCCAGTCTTGTAGCAATTCAATAAAACTTTAAGTTTATTAGATACTTTTCTATCACATGTAAGTTTTTTAGCCTTTTTCCAATTGCACCACCTAACTTGTATCTTATGTGCAACATTTCCATTAATTTTACCATCATGTTAGATAATTGCTTCTAAATATCTAATCTTTTCCCCAAGCAACAATCCAATTACTTTATTATTTTCACTATCTTTTTTTTTTTAAATGTTTCAACCATTTATTTGCTGAAGGTAATTCATATTTGTAACTATTACAAAGCCTAGCCAAAGCTTCTTTTTTCATTGATATAATATAAATAGAATTTTCATTGCTTAGGAATAATCTTCCATATATAAAACAATTCGTCACCTGGAAAATTAAATATACTAATAATATATAAATTGTGGCAAAAAAATTGAGATATAAATTGTTTCTCATGGTAAAGGGGATGGTTGATTTGATGGTGGAATCAACAAATACGATGGTGAGGAAATGGGAGGCAAGAATTGATCATAATGAGAAAGCGGTTGCAGAGATAAAGATAGATGAAGATTTGAGAAGCTTATCGGCTGATATAATTGCGAAGGCCTGTTTTGGAAGCAGCTATGAAAAAGGCCAAGAAATATTCACCAAGCTTAGATTTATTCAGAAGCTCATGTCCAAATCAACTGTTGGAATTCCGGGACTACGGTATGCATTGATACTTCCATGCATGTATATATATTAAATCAGATTCCCTAACTTTATACATTTGAAAATGAATATGACTGTTTGTGAAATCCACATCTCGTTTTAATTATTAAAAAAAAAAATCAACTTTATTACACGCAGTAAAAATATTGAAGTGTACAGATTTCTATATTTTGGTTTTGTAACTGCTACAACGAGTTAAGTTGGTTACTCAGATCACTTGAATTATTGGCTCTATCATGAGGTTAAAATGCCAATCCTTGTCATAAAGGTTTTATTAAGTTTTGCTTTCTCTTATGAACCTAATACGACCCTCTTTCTTTTGTTCAGGTTTGGGATCAGCTATAAAGAAATATATAGGCAGAGCTGATTTAGTAACTAGTACAATTTTTTAAAGTATTCCTTTGAATGATAAATGATGAAAATGAAACAAATATGATAGGATACTTGGATTGAATTATCTTTAAGCATGTCATGACTGGTGATAAGATATATGATAAAAATGAAACGAACTTACCCTAAGACATAGAAGCGAAGTTATGCAATGCTATATGTATAGTTAAATAATGAAAAATACACCGTTTCCATATTATGAGTTGTTCTTCTAGTTATTGTTGCCATTAGTGACAAATATGGTATAACAAAAATGACAATTATGCTATAATGAACTTCTTTAGGTACCTGCCAACAAGAAGCAACAGAGAGATATGGGCATTAGATAAAGAGATAAGCTCAATGATTAAAAGACTTGTAAACCAACGCCTCATGGTTGGTAATAAGCAGGATCTCATGCAAATGATAATGGAGGGTGCTACAAAATGTAATGAGGATGGTGGTGGTGATGACCTCTTATCAAATCCTATCTCACGTGACAAGTTCATAGTAGATAACTGCAAGAACATATATTTTGCTGGACAGGAGACGACGGCGATCACAGTGTCGTGGGCATTGATGTTGTTAGCAGAACACCAAGATTGGCAAGATCGCTGTCGAGCTGAGGTGCTTCAAGTTTGTGGAAATGGCACCTTTGATGCAACCATGCTTAGAAGCTTGAAAACGGTATTTATGAGACTGAGCTATACATACTTGCTTTTCTGATTAAAGATTTTTGTCCACTTGATGGAGAGAAATAAGAAGTAAATTAGAATGAACACAATGATAATAAAAGTATGATAAATATTATATATCTTATGTTTTGTGCTTTGGAAACTAATTCTGTTTTCTATGAATTAACCAAAATGACATTAAATTAAATTTGCATATTCTTGGTTGAAAATTGGAAATATACTCCATGTTCTGACTTCAGTTTAGAACTTCAGAACCATTTGATAAACTAGTATGTTATGTCTATTTATGTTTGGGATATCATAGTATAAATGATACAGCACAATAACATCATATAATTCATACAGTTGACCTCACCGAGTGGGATAAGGCTTGTTGTTGATATCATAGTATATGTTGTGATGGTATTTAGGATTTCTGATTTCTCCTGTTAGTAAGGCTAAACGAATGTTGTGAAAATAGATTTACAAGAATTTTATACAAGTCCAGTAGTGTGAGATCCCCATGAAAGCTGAAATGAAACATCTGAGTTAACGAATCAAGTTGTCAATTGATTTGCTCAAAGTTCTTACATGAAGGAAGAAAGTTTCACCTTTGGAATGTCAAGTTCATCCACTTAATCATCACTGCCTTGACTATGCCTTGACTATGAAACTATAACAAAGGCAAAAATATTCTTGACAAGGAGATTGTTCGCATTTAAACTCTGATATGATTATTTTAATTTATATGAATAGCTAAAATATTATATAATAGTTAAGGATAAGAAAAGAACAAATACTGCTAGAAGTTGAATGGGGACAAGCTTCTTTTGAGCTAAACCAAAGAAGCATAAAACTTTTAAGTCATCCAGAATATTTAAAATACATACATGCATGCATATCATGCAAGTGAATTTTTTGTTATTTTCATCTTGAGCATGCTAATTGATCGATAACTTGCATTAAAATATTACTGACATGCCTGCAGGTAACTATGGTGATTCAAGAGACTCTTAGACTTTACCCACCGGCAACATTTGTTATAAGATCAGCCTTACAAGATATTAAATTGAAACGTATTTCGATTCCGAAAGGAATGAACATTCAGATTCCAATCCCATTATTACAGCAAGACCCTGAACTGTGGGGACCTGATGCCAACATGTTCAACCCTCAAAGATTTGCAAATGGGATCATGGAAGCTTGCAAGACCCCTCAGGCTTATCTGCCATTTGGCATCGGAGCTCGGATCTGCGCTGGCCAGCATTTTGCGATGGCGGAACTGAAGGTGATCTTATCTCTGATTTTGCTCAGGTTTCAGTTCTCTCTCTCTTCAAGTTATCGCCATTCTCCTGCATTTAGACTGGTTATAGAACCTGGGGAAGGAGTCGTTCTCATGGTTAGGAGAATTTGAGCTCAAGATGTATTGGCATGTATGCATTGTATGTTCCTAAGTATTTTGGATGTTTTACACTATGTTCGGTTCAACTAGGTCGGATCCCGTGCGTTGTATGGGTTTGATATCAGAAAATTATAAGAAGTAATATCGATAATAATATTTACAAAATTTCAATTTAAGTAATAATATTGTCTTGTTAAAAGAGATGATGTTATCTTGTTTGGTTCTTTTTGTTTTTTGACCGGAGACAATTTTAGATCTAGACTTTCAATTTTGCGTCAAATTTACTCTCTTCTTTTTGCTCTTTCTGGAGATTTTTTTTTTTTTTATACTTATGTGTCAGTTTATTGAAGTTCAATACAACATTAACTAGATTTATTTCCTTTGAGATGCATAGGGATATTTTATTTTTAAAAGATAAAAATAAAATAGAAATATAAAAATTTGAAAAAATTTTAATTTGTTTTAGTATACTTAGAATTTTTATTTATTTAAATTAAATGCAAATAACAACTTATTTTAAATTTTATTTTTCATATCCGTATTAAAAAGGGAGAATGACAATAAAGTTTTTTCAAATTAGATAAATGATAATTTGGTCTTGAAAAATGTTATGATTATGTTAAAATTCCTATAGACTTATGTGTTCATAAATTTTGAAAAAAAATCACAACCAGCCTCCTTGTATGAGAATTAATCATAGATAAAGATCAATGAGGAATGAATTGTTGTTAAAATATAAACATGACTTGTTTGTTTTCTCGAATGGAATTTCTTGTTGGTCCTTATTTGTGATAAATTTTTTTGGGAGGTGGTTAGATATGATTCTTTTATAAATTTTTAAGGGTAAAGGTTCAAATTTACCCTTCTCCAGGGGTGCTTGATATCCTAAACTTTTGTTTAAAGCAATGTTATGCTGGAACTCTAAAAAATGGTGCAATGTTACTCTACCATTAGAGTTGACTGTTTGTTGATCGTTTTGCATGATTGGACTTGCTATATGACTACCACATGGCATTTTTTTAAAAAATTTAAAATGGTAAAAGTGCAAATTTACTTTGAAATTTTTCCTACAGGGACACTTAATATCCTCAATTTTTTATTTTGGAGCAATGTTGCCCTTAAACTTTTCAAAACAGTGCAATGTTGCCTTGCTATCGGAGTTGATCATTTTATTTGACTTGACTTGTCAAGTGGTAGCTATGTGGCATTTAAAAAAAAAATTAAAAAAATGATGTGTCTTCCTTCTTATGTCTCAATTGCATATTTCTCTCCCTCCTTCATGGTCGACCATTCTTCTTGCTTTCATTCTTCCCTCCTCCACTATCAGCATTTGTAAGACAAGAGCTAAATGAGAAGCCCCATAGCCATAACCCCCGAGTTGTTACTTCTCCCTTCTTAATGTTGGACAATCTGAGTTGTTAATTTTTTTTGTTCTTGTTTTTTTGGATATTTTGAGTTGTTCTTGTATTGTTGGGTTTTTGAATTGTGTTTTTTATTTTCTTCCTCTCTACTCCTTATCTTTGATTGTTTTTTTATGTTTAAAATTTGGGTTTAGTTGTTTTTATTGAATGCTTGTTGATGATGAAAATCTAAGTTTTATTTTTCATCTTAGTATTCTGAGTTATTTTGCATTTTTAGTGTTGTAGATGAAGAAGAAGCTGATGAGGATGAAGCATTATTTTTTTTTTAGTTTTTAAAAAGTAACACATAGCAAATGAAGTCAAACAAAATGATTAACTATAATAATAGAGCAACATTGCTCTAAAAAAGAAAGTTCACAATGCTAAGCGCCCTTGAAGGAAAAGTTTTATGGTAAATTTGCACTTTTATCATTTTTTAATTTTTAAAAAATGCCACGTGGTAGCCACATGGCAAGTCCAATTAGACAAAATAATCAATAAACGGTCAACTCTAATGGTAAGGCAATATTGCACCATTTTTTAGAGTTATAGGGCAACATTACTGTTAGAAAAGTAATGATATATTATTGTTAAACCCTCAAGTTTAAAATTCTTTGTTTCAAGAATAAAACACATAGATGAACAAAGTAGATTCAATAATAAACTACTTCTATCAAATACTTTATCTAAGAGTTTTATATATAATCAATGAAGCTCATTGTAATGAATACAAACTTAAAAAGTTAGTAAACAATAAATGAAAATAACTCAAGTAGTTCATTCATGTCATTCTTGTTCATCGTCTTCATAAATACTTCAATTTATAGTTGGCTTCATAAATGATCTGTTATGCTCATGAATATAGTCATTAGAGTCATTATCTTCTCTTATAAAATTTCTCTAAAATAAGACAATGCAACAGTGCTTTATGGCAAAGCATTCTCTCTTACAGCAAGTAAGGAAAGTAATATCTCTTTGTATTAAATGTTCTGACAAAGTAGATAAGAAACTATTTCAAAAGAATGAAGTTATTTAAGAATAAAGATTTTAGGTATAAGATAAATAAATGTTTTGTCCAACCCAAAGTTGTGTTTAAAATAATTCTAGGAAGATTAAAAAATTAACACAACCCTCAAAAGATGAAAGAAAAGAGAGAGAGAGAGAGAGAGAGAGAGAGAGAGTTTTGAGATTACCTTGTCATTCATACGAGAACCATAGCATGTTTCTTCGCGCTTGTTTCAAAACATAGTGGTTTATTTTAAAATAACGAAGAACAAATCAACGAGCAAGTAGAGAGAGCTCTTTTCAAGTAAGGAAAATATATTGGAAGATGTTTACACATGTTGATATGGAATTCTTTATATGGGAATTAAAGGAACCATTCCTAAATAAGTTACTCATGAATAGGTTATTTCTGAATAAGATATTACAAAAGATGTATTAAGAACAACTTTAAAGAAAAGAAATACTATTCTTGAATAAGGATAGCTATTCCTAAATAAGCTATTTTTGAAAGTAAAAGAGTGGATATTTGAGAATAAGGAACATGCACAAGAATAAGCTATTCCAGAATAAAGAATGCTTATTCTAAAATAAGGATCATTTATAGAAAATTGACATAGGCTCTTAGATCTTGAATTTTTCATTCTAAGATCAATTGAGATACTTTTTAAGCAATACCAAGAGTCTTTAAGGAGTTAAAATTAAGTCAAATACTTAGTCTTTATAGAGAAATGCAATATGAAAGGATACGAGAAGTATTTAGGTGTTTCTTAGCTATTTGAAAATAAAGCACGATCGAGAGTCAAAATTTTAAAGCAAAGATAGGCAATTCCTTTACAACTCATTGACTTTTAATTATTAAACCTGTAAAACATAAATTTCTCTCATTTTATAATCATCAAAATTAGGGTTCAACATTTCTTCTCTTTTTTGATAATGAGAAAACTTGATGCACTTTATTAGTCCCAGAGAAAGTTTGTCTGCCCTTCAAACAAGTAATAAATAGAGAGAGTAAAATGAACGATATATGAACTGAATACTACACTTGTATTAACACATAGTTAAGAGTAATACACATTATGATCCAAAAGATAAACATAAAAAGCTATAAAGTATAAGCTCAGTTTAAAACAAAACACAAGAAGGCTAATGATTGGTATTTTTGGATATAAAAAAGACAGGGCCCTTCTTGGTCTTCACAGCATCAACTTTGGCCATAAAATTCTTCAACCAATTATCTGTGAGAATGTTAGTGTGAGGCATAATGGGAAGGAAGAGATGAAAGCAAGGAAGAGACATATTGCTTCTAATCTTGCAGTAGGTGCAAAAGTTTTTTCATAGTCAATGCCTTCTTTTTGGTTGTACCTTTTAGCCACCAATCTTGTTTTGTTTCTAACCATGATTCCACCTTCATCAAATTTATTATTGAAAACTCATTTAGTTCCAATAACAGGATGATCCTTGGGTCTTGGTAATAAGTCTCAAACTTAACTCTGTTTGAATTGAATGAGCTTCTCTTGCATAACATTTATCGAATGGGAGTCAGATAGAGCTTTTTTAATGGTTTTGGGCTTAATCTCTAATATAAAAGCTGAGTGACTGGTTATGTTTTGAAGGTGACTTTTAGTATGTACTGGTTCACTTATTTCCCTAATAACTTGATCAAGCAGATGATTTTTGTTATGTCTCCAAGTAGTTGGTTATAGTGAGTCTTCTTCTTCCACGGGTGGATTTTCTTCTTTTGCAATCGTTTCTTGAGGTTTTTAAGATTTTTGAATTTAGAGATTATTTGTCATCTCATTTAACTCGTCCACATTACGAGTATCTTTTGTCATTAGATTCTCATTGAAGACAACATGAATAAACTCCTCCATAGTCTATGTTTTGAGATTGAAGACATGAAGCACCTTGCTTCTACTAAAGTAGCCCAAAAATATTCCTAAATTTGATTTTTTGCATCAAACTTTTCAAGGCTCTTCTTATTGTTATGAATGCATACCTTGCTTCCAAATACATGAAGATGAGAAATGTTCAACTTCCTTCCTTTGTAAAGTTCATATGGAATCTTGTTCAGCTTTGGCCTAACATATGCTTTGTTGATAATGTAGTATGCCGTGCTTATAGCATCAACTTAGAATACTTTAGAGACTCCATTATCATTCAACATAACTCTTGCCATCTCAGTAAGGACTCCGTTCTTTCTTTCTACAATGCCATTTTGTTGAGGAGTTTTTGGTGCTAAGAAGTTGTAACTAATTCCATACTCTTCACAGAAGTTCATAAAGTCACTATTCTCAAATTTTCTTCCATGACCAAATCTAATAAACATAATAGATATAGCTTTCTCATTTTGGACATTTTTGGCAAAAGTACTAAATGCATAGAATGTTTCGTCCTAAGAACTAAGGAAGAAGGTTTATGTAAATCTAGAATAATCATCCACAATAACAAACGTATAAAAATTACTATTAAAACTTTTGACTCTTGAAGGACCCACTAGATCTAATATGCAGGAATCGAGGAGATCTTTTAAAAGATATAAAATCCTTAGGTTTAAAAGATGATTTAGTTTATTTCCCAAATTGACATGCTTGACATACCTTTTCTTGATCAAAACTTAAGGATAGAAGGGCAATAATCAAATTATTTTTTACTGATTTTTCTAACTACCTTTTATTTACATGTGCCAAGCGACGAGGTCACAAAAAGCTTTTCTCACATTTATTCAAAAAACATTTTTGTGAGGAAGGTTCATAATCTAAATCAAAGGCAAAGTAGCTA